TATATATATATATATATATATAATTGTAAAATCAGTCCTTTATGACCAGTTTCTAATTTGGAAACCAATAAGCAGTTCATTTTGAAATAGCTGTTTTTTTTCTCTTTTAAATATTTATTTTATGTTCATTAATAAAACAAAAACATTTCTTATCCAATTACTCGATTAACCAATGAAATAACCGACAGGAAGCTTCAAAGATTTGCTTTGTCTGGTAGACACCTGCACTTTTTGTTCACACAGTTTATGCTGGTCTAGTCATTTTTATGTATCTTTAGGTTAACATTTTTTGATTATTATAATTGATAATATATATAAAAATATTCTCTAAACATGCTGAACTTGAATATGAAATGTTTATGTAGCTTTGACAAACTAGATTAACCTAAATCATGGAGACACTAAGAATACCTGTGCTGCAATCACTGCTGTAAACAGCAGGATGCAGTACGAGTGCTGAAATGTTGTTGATTCTGAGGATAGATACAGTAGACATTTAATCCTGGGTATTAGCAACTTCAGTCAAATGTATTGCTTCCACCCCCCATGTCTACTGGTAATACAATTTTCCCACTGCTGTCTTTAGGTTCTCAAACACTCTGCTTACCTTCCTTGACAGGAATTGCTGGCTTCTTCTGCCTCAGACCCAGGAGGATGAAGAAAAGGACGAGCGGGATGAAAATCTCAAAAGCCAGCACCCACTGAATCGGAACAAGAAAGATAATTTACAGGATTATTTTTTCACTCCATTTCAATGAAATCTGGGCTAAACCTAGTCCAGTTTCAGGTCAGTGATCTTGAGTCATGGGTCTTTACCATTACACTCTCCTTGTCAGTTCCCATCACACAGTTCATAGATCATGTTTCACAATAGACTTTACAGAGTTTGCTTACTTTAAGATATCAATCTTTTACATCGGTGAGGGAGTGAGAAAGATGTCCAGCCTGCACAGCTCCTCTTCATTGCAATGCCAAACCCTTTTTATGTGGCCGTTACTCTAAAGCAGGCTGTGCAGTACAGTTTAGTTTGCTCTGTGGGCACGTTACAGATTAAAGACACCATCAAAGACAGGCTGATAGGCCACGTCTGCTGTACAGTCCATTGCAAGATATGTGCCTCACAATCAGAGGAGGAGATGAGATGAAAAGATGCTGACAAAAGTACCATAGTTTAAAACAAAGGTTCACAGTAGATTGCGTGCTTATCACCTCACATTTCTTTACAAATGTGAGATGATCAGGGTGCATTCTGACCACCAGAATAATTCTCAGAAATTACTCCAGAAATTTTCAAGGCAATTTCATCAAGCTCTTTGGCATCTAGGGCAACTTCTTGTCATCTTCTCTTTCAACACTCCTGAATTTCACCTGGACATGGACCCCTTGCAGCTGCAGTGCATTTCATTTAATGAAATCTAAAACAAAGGTGTGTGCTAACAAAGCCAAATGAAGGCCTCGATTCTTTCCAGGAATCATGAATCATCTTGAATCTGACAGCCTCCTCTTTCGTAACACTGTCCACACAGAACTACTGGAACCATGATGTCTTTGTGCTTCTGTCTTGGATGCCCACAGATACACACCCAGCTGCTGCGTGTGCATTCAGTTTGTGAAGGTTAGTGCAGACAAAGAGGCTCTTTAGACAGAGACAAGAGTCCACTGACACAGGTTACAATAAACAAAAATGTCTCTTCTCACATATCAAGTTCTGTTATAGATGATCCATTTAATCTGGCAGCTCTCTTACATCTCAACTTTGGTCAAATTGAAAAAAAAAAATGCTAGAAATAAGGAGATTTTAATGTGTTTTTAAAACTGTATTACTTTTCATTTCTTGGGGAACAAAACAACAGGTTTTTTTCTCAGAGTGTCTGAGTCTACACACACACACAAACACAGGAAACCCCGTTCAGCTATCTTAGTGAGGACCTTCATTGACATAATGCTTTCCCTTGCCCCTTAACCCAACCCTAACCATTAAATATGAATGGCTACCCCTTACCCTAAACCTAACCATAACCTAATTGTAACCCTGACACTGAAACCACATTTTGAGCTTTAAAAATGCCTTCAAATCTTATTTGTGAGGACCAGGTTGTGTGTCCTCACAAGTGACTGTTGGTTCTAACAAGTATAGTACAGGGTGGGCCATTTATATGGATACACCGTAATAACATGGGAATGGTTGGTGATATTAAAGTCCTGTTTGTGGCACATTAGTATATGTGAGGGGCAAACTCCTCAAGATGGGCGGTGACCATGGTGGCCATTTAGAAGTCGCCATCTTGGATACAACTTTTGTTTTTTCAATAGGAAGAGGGCCATGTGACACATCACACTTATTGGTAATGTCACAAGAAAAACAA